GGTACAGAAAAAACTTACAGAAATTTTACAGAATTTTGAAATGGACGGCGCAGATGCAAAGTTTGGGAAAAGCTGTCAATTTTCTGGTCAGGGAATTTTCCTTATGAAAAACTCAACAAAGAGATATGCAAAAGATATGACCAGATTGGACTATATTATTTTGTAAGAGTTAATACTGAACATGTCATAGTCGAACTAATGTAGCATTATTATAAATATAAAAAAGTTAATTATTGTACGAAAACCGAATAGAACCGCACCGAACCAAATGAAACCAAACCCAAACGTTTCCATAAGTAAATTTGGACCCGACGATTCCATTTTCTAAATACCGAAAAATTTTGGTTCGGTTCTAAAATCCAGCCCTAATAATTATATTCACACCATAATTTTTTTTAACTCAACACATTGTAATTGCAATGAATGTCTCAAATGTGTACTCGTTTTCGCATTTATGTCCCTAATTTTTTCCGTCATATTTTTTTTCAACATTCAATTAATTAGCACATCTTTTTTAGAATAACATTCAAAAAAATTGTTGGGATGCAGTAAAAAGTCTTGTTTGTCACTCATACTTTAAAATAAGCAAGATAAACAATTAATACAAAACTTCGGAAAAAAAAAAAAAAAAAATCCATGCTAACGGAATATTTGGATAGTAATCGTCATCATAGACAAATGTCCCAAATAACTAGAGATTAAAGATGAGAATGTTACGAAGAAAAATTGGGAACATAAGTGCAAAATTTAAAAACCTTCATTGCAATTAAAATATGGTGTAGTTAACAAAAACTGTCTTGAGAACATAATTACGTTTTTTTTGTTACCATTATGTAAAATATGATATGTAAATTGAAAATTTAGAAAGTATGGTATATACAAAGTAAGTATAAATACATCCTATACAGATTACAGAGGGTGTAATCAACTTGATAATCCTAATTTGTTCTGACCATTTTAAGAAAATGGATTGTAAATAGACAATTACAATGTCGACGGCTACATATTCTGTAAGCACAGCACATACTTGTGAACAAGCCAAACGCTAAATCTTTTAGCATTGTTTTTGTAGACTTACACTTTACAAAATAATACTAAAATTTAGTGAATACCAATGTTCCCTTTACTCAGTCAACGAAAATGTCATTGTTCATAGAATATGATATTATTATTTGATATTTAGAATGAGGAAAACTTCAATACTGTAAACAGAACACACGTCAAGATGGGATTGCTATATAAAGGATGTGGATTTTCTTTATAGAGCACAATTTATCATCCAGGTAGATTAATGGCTACTTTTTGGCCTAATCTACTATTTGTTTTCGTAATTTATGTGACGATTATAAATGTAGCAGCTGACGACAAACAGTATTATTATGATTCTGAGCCTCTATCATTGACCCCTCTACCAGCACCAACACCATCTCCGTTACCACCTTACATATCCCCTCCATCTCCATCTCCATCTTCATCTCCACCACCTTATGGGTATATATCCCCTCCACCGCCACCACCTCCTCCTCATGTATACAAATCCCCTCCACCACCTTACTACAAGTCACTATCGCCTCATTCATACAAATCCCCTCCACCACCGTCTCCTTATGTATACAAATCCTCTCCACCACCATACTATAAGTCACCTCCGCTACCTTATGTATTCATATTCCCTCCGCCACCATCTCCGTCACCACCACCTCCTAATGTATACAAATTCCCTCCGCCACCTCCTCCTTATGTATACAAATCACCTCCACCACCTTACTATAAGTCACCTTCGCTACCTTATGCATACATATCACCTCCAGTACCATCTCCATCACTACCGCCACCTTATGTATACAAATCCCCTCCACCACCTTACTACAAGTCACCTCTACCACCTTATGTACACATAGCCCCTCCACCACCATCTTCGTCACCACCTCCTCCTTATGTATACAAATCACCTTCGCCACCTTTTGATTACATATCACCTCTATCACAGCCTCCTTATGTATACGAATCTCCTCCACCACCTTATTACTCCAAATATTCACATTTGCCATCCCCATCACCCATCTCTCCATACTAATACAAGTCTCCACAATCTCCATCCATCTCCATCTCCCTCCTTCGTATTACTATTAAGGCACCACCTTCACCCACTCCATCCCCTCAACCCCCACTCCCACCACCACCTTATTAGTATTAAGTTCCCACCTCTACATCCTCAACCTCTTACAAATAATAGTTTTCATCAACCACTTTTCTATGTTTTACACAATATTCACATGCATAACCATTTATTGGATTTTTTTATTAATTAGTTTTGACAATTAATGTATTTTATTTATACGTCAATGCTCTTCCATTGTAACATATGTTACTTTGTGATTTATGACGAATAAAATTCTTTGGATTTCAAGATGTCCATTGTGCTGGTTTATTTCATCTTTCTCGTCGAAATTCCTGATAAATGCCAAACTTATATAGACAGTAAATTGGCTCATAATTGTAGAGGAAAAAGAATGAAAATAGACAAATAACAATGAGAAAATTCTTAGAACGATTCCACATATATAAATTTGTAATAAATAACGAAGTTTGGGACAATAACTATCATTTAATTTTGTTATAAACATGAAAGTTTACTTTACTGTAATAACCACATCACTGCATATTCCGCCAATATAACTCTAGAATTACATTGGTCCTGTGTTTGTTTATTTCCTTATTTTTATTTATTTATTTGATGGGCTCCAATTAATGTCAAATTGGCAACATCACTAACTGGCAGTGTACCAAGGCACTCAGATTCACATACAAGGTTAATGTGAACCAACTCGGGCAAGTTCTTAAAGCATTCTCAAATATGAAAACCATATGGAATTGTAGTAAACATACTCCCAATGAAAATGTTATCAAGTAAAACAACTGAACTTATTTACCAAGAACTTCAATCTTTTAATATAGAAGAAACAAAGAAAATTAGGTATAGAAAATGAAGGAACCGAAATGGAAAAGTAAGCACCATGCCGTGCTGATAAGAACGTTGCTTTAGTCCTTTGGAGCGTTAACAATCACTTCCTTGTAACAAATTGGGCAAGCCTGTTTTATTACAAATGTTAGCAACATTATTGTTAAAGCACTTCTTAAGAAAGTCGTCAAGGCAATTCGCTTACTTTGTTAATACTGAGCCATTTGCTTCCACAACCTACATGGTAGACATGTTTGCACGGAAGAGTCATCTGCCTATCATGTCGTTTGTACTCCATCTGGCAGATCACGCACCTATTATGTAACAGAAAATATCTGGTTAAACACTGTGAAGCTGAAAATCATCTCGAAAGGATGAAAAAGATTTCAGAAGATGCATGGAACAATGCATTCATCTCCGGTAATCTTCAATCCCAGGACAAATATTTGTGATATTTAAACAAAATGGCCATTAATTATTTGCTGGGAAAATATATGGTAAGAAGAAATATGGACTGTGAAGCAGATGGTGACTGGAGAAGAAGATTGAGGAAGAAGAAAGAAGAAAGGAACGTCTGTGAAAAAAGAAGAAAAGAAGAAAGAAGGAAGAGACGCATGGAAATGAAAAGTAGGAATGCACTGTAAAAGTCAGTAAAAAGTTTGTTGGGCCAATAAAATTGACCGAAAATTTTCTATTTGTAACAAATATATGAATTTAATATTGAGTTTAATTTCTATTTACTATTTAATTATATATATATATAATGCAATATGCATAAAAAAATTATTACTTTAGCCTATTAAATTTTAAAAAGTTAAAAAATTATATTTTAATCAACGTGTTGATGACGTACCGTGTCGGAACTTTTTCAAAAAATC